TGTGTATGTATATCGGCATGTAGCAAGCTGTGCCGTGTATGCGCGTCGGTATACATGTAGCATGCTATGATGTGTATGTATATCGGCACAAAGCAAGCTGTGGCGTGTATTCGCGTCGGTATACATGTAGCATGCTATGTTGTGTATGTATATCGGCATGTAGCAAGCTGTGCCGTGTATGCGCGTCGGTATACATGTAGCATGCTATGATGTGTATGTATATCGGCATGTAGCACGCTGTGACGTGTACCTAGGCCTATGTCGGCATGCAGCACGCTGTGCCGTGTACCTAGGCCTATGTCGGCATGCAGCACGCTGTGAGGAGTATGTGTGTCGGCATGCAGCACGCTGTGAAGGGTATGTGTGTCGGCATGCAGCACGCTGTGAGGTGTATGTGTGTCGGTATGTAGCACGCTGTGATGTGTATGTGTGTCGGCATGCAGTACGCTATCACGTGTAATGTATGTCGGCATACACGCATGCAGGTCGGCGTAACGACGTGTAATAATGAGTAGGAAAATACTCGGGTTGTTGTTAGCGTAATGGCGCACAGAGAAAACCCACGCCGACATACGACCCGACAACATGCGCATACAGAAACCATTGTCCGATTGTAATCTAGAGTGTTTTGCGCAGTGATTGTCCAAGTCACTGCCAGCAAACTGTGCCGCGGTTAAATTTGAACGGCTAACGCATAACCGCTGGTTACCTCAGCCCATTATCTGTCTGTTGCAGTGGCCGCGGGGGTTTGTAATAATGCGCAACGTTGCAGCTTTCGTTTTTGTCGTATTTTTTAGTTTAAAATCGATCAACGTGTTTTCATTCGACACGCGAACGCGCGTAAATTACAGGCAAACGCGTTTTTTTTATTGATGGTTTATTTTTTTTACATAGGTAGTAAAGAATCATACAAAACATCTACACAAACCGTAATCTCGATCACATTCTTATGATTAGAAAGAAATATACCCACGCGTGTGCGAGTGGGAATCTTCGGTGCGGTATCACGCGCTAAGCGTATGGGATTTGTAGAACGAGATCAGTCGTTGTCTGAGGGGGCCGTGACAACTGATGCAATAAATAAGATGTGCGATCAGTTTCAGCTATGGCAATCAGCAATAGAAGTAGCTGAAAGCGGCAGGTAAATTGGGTAAGATATTTCGAGACAGGACGCGGCCTATACAATACACGGTAAAATATTGAGATCAGATTTTACAGCGGAATACTGTCGTATCGTTAATTACTACTCTCTATAGTCCAATATACTGTTAGATTGCTTCATATATACACAACAATTGCGCTCTATATAATACAACAAGAACACGAAGGTAATTTCAACGCCAGCATAAATCTCAATATTTCTAAAGTAGTTTAATTAGCAAAAATCTCTCAGTGGCCTCTAGATGGGTCTCTGTGGAATAAACAATCCAGTGATATCTTTTATATTACAACAGAAAAAAACGTCACCGAAGTAGTAATCGTGAATAAGAGAAATGATCGCATTTCCCATACAATTACGAGTTTGTTACTTCTCGCGAATGAATGTAGCAGAGGCGCACGCAAATGCAACCACTGTGTGCGTTCTGTCTGTCATCAGGGGGCGCTGAGGCCGGGCGTAACGGACTTCGGTTCCCGGGACTTCGGCTGGCCGAACCGCTTCGTGTTTTCGGGTGCCGCCAGCAGCATCGCAGCATTCCTCTGAGTGGAACATCATCCGCCGGACAGGTTGCATCGGTTTAGCTCAAGTTACCTGCGAACAGCAAAATAGAAACCAGACGTGAGACAATGATGAACGTCGCACGCGGTGACAGACGAACGTTCTCCCCATTAAATCCTACTAAGCACATGGATCGCCCGCGCGCCGTGTCCTCCACGTACACGGACACCACGCTAAAGATAGCGGCGGTACCGGGGAAGGTTCGCGCCCACATTCCCTAACTAACCATTAATCAACTTAGTTCATACAATAGACCAAGGTTGCCGCCGCCGGGTGTCGAACGTCCGCGACTCGCGTCGAGCTATTCTCTCAGCCACTCGCTTGTGAAAATATTGATTAACGTAGGCCGCCGTAACGGGGATGGGGGAATATATATTTGCAATGGAAATTGAGGTTAGGTTCGCGGCTGAGTCCCGGCCGGAGATAGACGCGCCAGCCGCGAACGCACTCACTCGCGACGACCCCCGGTCTGCTTGTTGACGACCTGTTCGCTTTTAATGACATGCACGGGATACGGAAAGCGCAAACGCAATGATCCTCCAGGTTCTACAGATGCCGTGACGGAGTCGTGGCGCAAGAAGCTCGCTCTCTCTCTCTCTCTCTCTCTCTCTCTCTCTCTCTCTCTCACACACACAAACACACACGTAGTAGTAGTAGTAGTAGTAGTAGTAGTAGTAGTAGTAGTAGTAGTAGTAGTAGTAGTAGTAGTAGTAGTGTGTTCTAAAACCTATTCATATTTTATTATGGATATTACATAGAATTGTATTAAACCTAATCAGTTTTGGGCGTGCTTCGGGGGATATTCGGCGAACGATAAGCTTAGTTATCTTTTGTTGGGCGGTGTGAGTGAGCCTGACACCGCTGTGACCCGGAGATGTGTGTAAATGCCATCGTCATCGTCGTTATCGCTGCCGCTATTGTGTCAAACGGCGGCAGTTCTCTCCGTTTGTAATTTTGCCCCGCCTAATTGATGTAGAACGCGCTTTATCGCACTTTTTTTCCGCTTCACCTTGGATCCATGCAAAACGCCGTTTCCGTCACGAAAAAAACACACAATTAATTACTGATAAAAAATGGCAAACTTAGCCGTGGCGGAAATGTCCAGAAAAGGGTCTGTATATAAGGAGGAGAAGCAAACATTAGCATAATAAGCCCCTGTTGCTTCGCATTCGTCGCCTAATAAGCACGTAAATACTATGCAAACAGGCGGCGTGTATAATTTTGCTCGCACTTCGATAAATCCCCCCCCACGGCCCCGCCCCGCCGCAGCGCTCACTTCTACTGAATGTAGATGGCATGCAAATGCACCCCTGGACGTAATGGCGGCTGCATACAGAGTTTCACGTCGCGTAGTAAAACGCGGCGAGTGTACGTGAGTGCGCGCGTGTTTTTTAGCTGCCCGGGCGCGTAGTAAAATGCGGCTCTTGTGTTTTTTCGCTCCCTTGACCGACAGCGTGCGTTCTCCGATCGAGTGTGCGAAGACTCCCCGCATGGTGCGCGAGATTGCCGGGAGGCGGCGCTCTAGTTAAAGCACGCTCGCAGCTCGGCGGCATCATCGACGTAGTAATGATGATCACAGCGGGCACGCTGCGACGTGCATTAGATTCACTCATCTCGCGATGGCCGTTTGACCATTAGTGCAAAAATACGATGATATACGCGAATGGATGATTGAACGTACGACGTGTATGTATGTCGGCATGCACGAAGCAAGCTGTGGCGTGTATGCGCGCCGGTATACATGTAGCATGCTATCAGATGCTATGATGTGTATGTATATCGGCATGTAGCAAGCTGTGCCGTGTATGCGCGTCGGTATACATGTATCATGCTATCAGATGCTATGATGTGTATGTATATCGGCACAAAGCAAGCTGTGGCGTGTATGCGCGTCGGTATACATGTAGCATGCTATCAGATGCTATGTTGTGTATGTATATCGGCATGTAGCACGCTGTGGCGTGTATGCGCGTCGGTATACATGTATCATGCTATCAGATGCTATGATGTGTATGTATATCGGCATGTAGCAAGCTGAGTCGCCAGCAAAAGCGAAGGCGACGCCAGCTCATTCAGTGCTCGGCGGGTGGTAAATACCATCGCATGCACACACCGCCTCCCTAACGAAGGCTGCGCACATACAGCAAGCAGCTCTTAGCTGCAAATACATATTCTCACGGAACTATTTCCTACCCGCGCGCGCGCGTATGGCGATCGCTCTCAGCGCCGTGCTGCGGCCGCGTGCGATCCAGCCAAGCGTGCACATATTGTTGGACGCTTTCACGGCGAACTTAATTATTACTCTTCCAGAACGCTTTGGGAATCGTTAAGACGCGATTAGTTGGTTTGCATAAGCGCGGCGCTTCGGCCAGCCCCGCTGATGCAACCCTTTCTCTCTGCCGGGCTTTCAGCTGGTCAGCGTGGGAAATTTTTACCACGCTCGTGCTGAGTAGGCCGCGGCTACTCCGCGACTTGCCGCGGGCGCTCTAGGCTTTTCAGTCGAATTCGTGCGGGCGGTTTTGGCGGGAAAGCTGGCATGTCATTGCGCGCGCCCTAAGTCGTTGCGCGCTTCGTGGACGGCCGTGCAGCGGCCGACTTTACGTTAAGTTACGCAAACTATCGTCAGCGTGAGCACACTCGGCCGCACCTAATAAGTACGCTGGCCTGTTTTTGCTCGTCGCCGAATGCTGTGAGGCGCACTCAAGCGGGAACAATAAAAATCTACGAGTCTGCGTGCTAAACAAGTTTTTGCTATAACGCGGTGGCGCGAGTAGCAAGGTTGTGCACGTACGCATATATACGACGGGAGACAGCGACGGAGATGGGAGAGGAGAAAGAGGAATAAGAGTAACAGATAGCCAGATAGAGAGTGTGTGTGTTTGTGTGTGTGAGAGAGAGAGAGAGAGAGAGTAGAGACGATGCAGGCGAGCCTTCTATGGGCCGCCACGACTCCGTCAGCCCGCCATTCTGTAAGATACTGGAGGCATACATTTGCGTGTTCGCGCCTTCCGAATATCGTGCATTGTGCATTAAAAGCCGCGACCAGGTGCGTCAACAAGCAGCGGGGGTCGTCGCGAGTGAGTTGCGTTCGGGCTGGCGCGTCTATGCTCTCAGCCGCGAAATAACCTCCAGTTTCATTGCAATCTATATCCCATCCCGTTACGGCGCCTACGCTTACCTCGAGCTATTTCTCAAGGCGGTGCCGCTGGAGATAGCTCGACGCGCAGTCGCGGACGTTCGGACACGGCGGCGGCAGACTTGGTCTATTGTATGGAGACTAGCTGATTAATGGTTTAGTTGGACGGCGAATGTGGGCGCGAACCTTCCCGTGAGGTACGCCGACGTGATCTTTAGCGTCGGTGTCCGTGTACGTGGAGGACACGGCGTGCGCGGGAACGATCCATGATGTTCAGTAGGATTGTGAATGGGCGGAGAAGCGTTTCAGTTCTGTTCACGCGTCGCGACGTTCATCATTTTCTCAGTTCTGGTGTCTATTTTGCTGTTCGCAGGGGTAACTGAGCCTAAACCGATGGCAACCTGTCCGGTGGATGATTGTTCCACTCAGAGGAATGCTGCGATGCTTGCTGGACGGCACCCGATAAAACGAAGCGTTCGGCAGCCGAAGTCCGGGAACCGAAGTCCGTTCGCCGGCCTCAGCGACGCCCTGATGACAGACAGGACGCACACAGTGGTTGCATTTGCGTGGGGCCGCTCTGACTACATTGCATTCGCGAGAAGTAACAACTCGTAATTGTATGGAAATGCCGATATTTCTACTTTCATCGATTTACTACTTCGGTGACGTTTTTTTCTGTTGTAATATTTAAAAGATTATCACTGGGATTGTTTATTCACAGGAGACCATCTACGAGGCAGCTCGAGAGTTTATTGCTATTAAAGCTACTTTAGAAATATTGAGATTTAATGCTGGCGTGTGAAATCTACCTTCGTGTTCTTGTTGTATTTATATAGAGCGCAATTTTGTTGTGTAGTATATTGAAGCAAGTCTACCGTCGATATTGGCACCTATTAGCAGGGTTAGTAATTAACGATCGACAGTATTCCGCTGTAAAATTGATCTCAATATTCTTAGGCCGTGTAGGTGTATAGGCCAGCGTTCCTGGTCTCGAATATCATTAACCCAATTTACCTGCGCTTTCAGCTATTCTTGCTGATTGCCCATAGTCCTGC